GTCCCCATTGTCTGTTCTTCAGCAGGGAAAGCAGTCGTGATGACAGAAGTATTCCTGATGCTTCCATTTTCAAAACTCTGAAAATTCTTGTAAAGTTGTGATACTTTTCCTAATACAGCATGTCTGTCTGTGGTTTAAAAAAAATCCACATAGAAATAAATTCAATTTCTGCTCAACTAACTTTTTTAAGCAAACGAATATTAAACAAATATATATTTAATATAACTCAAAAAAACAATACTACTTTATTTTAAATAACATGTTATATTTTGATTGTTTTAAAAGTGCACACTCAAAAGTATTTCATTCAGATTTTTTTTCCTCAGAGACAGCATTAATTAATTTTACTTACATCATTCGAGACATTCGGGAATTGTCACTGCAGAGCTCCTCCTGAGCTGTTTGTAGAAAAGAATAAAAGGAGTTGCATTTATACCTGGAAAAGAAAAGAGGGCGTCTCTCATGCTCTGGAATGCTTAGGAATATTAATCGTCTTCTTTGTGTCACGTGATTGGAAAGAACATGAGTTGTGTGTTTTATTCAGGTTAAGAAAATTAATTTTGTGCAAATTTGTGAAACCATCTACATTTGACTGTTTGAAGTTGAAAAAAATGAATGCCCTAATTCTACATTTAGTTTTTTTTGCATGTTATAACCTAACTATTGGACATGCATGAAATATTTGCATGTTCACGGCTCTCAGTAGTCAGTGATCCAAACTATATTTTCTCTTAGGACATTCTTTCACTTTCAGTAGTGTTGGTAAAGTACCGAAAATACCTAATGTATTTCAGGTGTGGTGCGGTGGCATCTTTCCTCACCGGCTGGTATGACTGCCAAGAATACCATGCTGGATTGTTTTGCTCATGTTTTGTTTTTCAGACATTCTTCTGTCATCAGCCTGCATGTGTGTTATATATATAACAGGAGTTCTGTAAGTCTACTGCTGATTCTGTATACAACTATTCAAGGAGTTTTAGTTACTGATTGATGTTTTTCAGGACATTTGAGGAATGGGTAGAATGGTTCAGTTAAACTGATTCAGTCTTCTCATCAGGGGTGCGTTTCCCAAATCAACTATTATATAGTTTTATAAAGCTGTCAGTAACTTCAGATCAAATTGAAACTTATTGAGTAACATGCACCAGATGATTTTGTACAGCACAGTGGAGTGCATCGTTTTGTTAACTTTGTGGTTTATTATTGTGAGTAGTTTGGGACACAGTAACACGGCCCTCTCACAATATATTGCTTTACAGATCTATCGCTTTTGCCTCAGAAATGTTCACGCAATCATGTTGCACACGTATCAGAAGATCTGTGCTCCGCTCACACTACATGCGTACCGCGCCCGAGCCCAACTGAACCGCGCTCTGGCCTACCTCTTCCAACCAAGCCAGGGACAGCTAAACGAATGCACGGAGCGATCACACTAGTCAAACGGGCCGGGTTTTGGGGGTCAAATGCGCTCGGGCACGGTTAAGATTGCCTAGTGTGAGTACACCTTAATTATTCTCCCGCATCCCGCACACATGAGTCTCTACCCGCCCACACCCGCACTCTGCTGCTTTGGGTCCCGCGATCGTGCAGGTCTCTACTTGGAAGGAGCCTGTTATAATGTTATGATCGAGGCTCTTGACTCTGAGCATAACTTGTTTTCTATAACAAACTATAAAATATTTTGGTAGCACTTTATTTCGATAGTCCACTTTAGACATTCTATTAACAGTAAGTAGCTTTGCAGCTACATGTCAACTAGCAGTTAGTAGAGTATTAGTAGACTGTCTGCTTAATATCTTCTAACACTTTCTTTGTCAACTTATTCTACTAACCCTAAACCTACCCTAACAGTCTACTCTGAGAGTTAGTAGACATGTAGTTGCAAATTAATGAGAATTAGTTGACATGTAGTTGACATGTAGTTACAAAGTTACTTATAGTTAGTAGAATGTCTAAAGTGAACATGTTATATTTAGATTGTTTTAAAAGTGCACACTCAAAAGTATTTCATTCAGATTTTTTTTTCCTCAGAGACAGCATTAATTAATTTTACTTACATCATTCGAGACATTCAGGAGTTGTCACTGCAGAGCTCCTCTTGAGCTGTTTGTAGAAGAGAATAAAAGAAGTTGCATTTATACCTGGAAAAGAAAAGAGGGCGTCTCTCATGCTCTGGAATGCTTAGGAATATTAATCGTCTTCTTTGTGTCACGTGATTGGAAAGAACATGAGTTGTGTGTTTTATTCAGGTTAAGAAAATTAATTTTGTGCAAATTTGTGAAACCATCTACATTTGACTGTTTGAAGTTGAAAAAAATGAATGCCCTAATTCTACATTTAGTTTTTTTTGCATGTTATAACCTAACTATTGGACATGCATGAAATATTTGCATGTTCACGGCTCTCAGTAGTCAGTGATCCAAACTATATTTTCTCTTAGGACATTCTTTCACTTTCAGTAGTGTTGGTAAAGTACCGAAAATACCTAATGTATTTCAGGTGTGGTGCGGTGGCATCTTTCCTCACCGGCTGGTATGACTGCCAAGAATACCATGCTGGATTGTTTTGCTCATGTTTTGTTTTTCAGACATTCTTCTGTCATCAGCCTGCATGTGTGTTATATATATAACAGGAGTTCTGTAAGTCTACTGCTGATTCTGTATACAACTATTCAAGGAGTTTTAGTTACTGATTGATGTTTTTCAGGACATTTGAGGAATGGGTAGAATGGTTCAGTTAAACTGATTCAGTCTTCTCATCAGGGGTGCGTTTCCCAAATCAACTATTATATAGTTTTATAAAGCTGTCAGTAACTTCAGATCAAATTGAAACTTATTGAGTAACATGCACCAGATGATTTTGTACAGCACAGTGGAGTGCATCGTTTTGTTAACTTTGTGGTTTATTATTGTGAGTAGTTTGGGACACAGTAACACGGCCCTCTCACAATATATTGCTTTACAGATCTATCGCTTTTGCCTCAGAAATGTTCACGCAATCATGTTGCACACGTATCAGAAGATCTGTGCTCCGCTCACACTACATGCGTACCGCGCCCGAGCCCAACTGAACCGCGCTCTGGCCTACCTCTTCCAACCAAGCCAGGGACAGCTAAACGAATGCACGGAGCGATCACACTAGTCAAACGGGCCGGGTTTTGGGGGTCAAATGCGCTCGGGCACGGTTAAGATTGCCTAGTGTGAGTACACCTTAATTATTCTCCCGCATCCCGCACACATGAGTCTCTACCCGCCCACACCCGCACTCTGCTGCTTTGGGTCCCGCGATCGTGCAGGTCTCTACTTGGAAGGAGCCTGTTATAATGTTATGATCGAGGCTCTTGACTCTGAGCATAACTTGTTTTCTATAACAAACTATAAAATATTTTGGTAGCACTTTATTTCGATAGTCCACTTTAGACATTCTATTAACAGTAAGTAGCTTTGCAGCTACATGTCAACTAGCAGTTAGTAGAGTATTAGTAGACTGTCTGCTTAATATCTTCTAACACTTTCTTTGTCAACTTATTCTACTAGCCCTAAACCTACCCGAACAGTCTACTCTGAGAGTTAGTAAACATGTAGTTGCAAATTAATGAGAATTAGTTGACATGTAGTTGACATGAAGTTACAAAGTTACTTATAGTTAGTAGAATGTCTAAAGTGGACTAGCGAAATAAAGTGTAACCAATATTTTCTATAAAAACGTGTTTTTTTTTTAATTACAGTGATGTTATAAGTTGAGATTTACAAGAACATTTTAACTGCTACTATGTAAAAGGAATACAGCTGTAGAAAAGCACCTTATTTGTTTAATCAGCTTTAGTTTGTCACGTGATTTAAAGGAACATGAACTGCTGTACTTTTATTTATGTTTTAGACAGCACGTTTTAAGCAGATCTGTGAAACCATGCATAGCTGAATTAAAATTATGAAAATAATAATAATTGTAATAATTTATACCTTAATTTAAGATTACAATTCCAGTCAAGAATCTACTTGAATATTGTTTCACCGTTTTGTTTGTTCACATACAGACGCTGTGTCGTGATTATGCTGCCTGTCAGCGTATACTTTCACTTTCATTAGTGTTGGTAAGTACAGAGAATAAAATAGTTTCCTTGTTTAAACAGGTGTCTTTGTTTCAGGTGTGGTGGTGTGTTCTGTCACCAGCTGGTTATTTTTGGTGTAGACTGTTTGGCATGTCTGCTATGCTGGTTTCTCTTTCCTCATATGTGTTGTTTTTCAGACATTCTTCTCTTATCGCTGTCTTATCGATGTTTTTATGAAACAATAGCAATGGAGCGACTGCTCACTGACTGGTGATCATCCAATCAGGACAGTGTGTAATGTACACTTACTGTGTGGTACGTTATAATAGGCTACTTTAAAACATTATCATGAAGCTGTTTATATGTTTCCTATATCGATTTCACATCTGAAGTACCAGAATTTGGCGTTGTATTTAAGCCAACATTTATGTATAGAACCAGCCTAGAACCAGTTTATGTTTGTAAATGTGTAATTTTTATCAATGTACAGTATAAAATAAATGAGGTATGACGTGGACATGGAAATTTACTTTGTAATCAACAGTCAGAAACAATGAAAATCAAGAACAAATGAAGAACAACCAGCAAATTGGCCACATTAAATATTCAATTCAGATGAAAGTTTATTGTTTGTGATCTCTTCGCAGTTTGGCCATGTTAATAAATACTTCTTGGTGTGATATATCAACCAAGAAACGTATATTGATAGTTTTAAAGGGATAGTGCACTCAAAAATGAAAATCCTGTCATTGTTTACTCTTTAATTTTCTACAGAAGAGAAAAAAACATACAGGTTTTGATTTCCTTAATTTTCACATAATTCATTACACTTAGATTAAGTATGTGCACTTAAAATGTGTATTTATTTGCCATAAATGTTATATGCATAAAAAAACTTTGTTTTTAATGGAATAAATAAATATCTTTCTATATATATATATATTTTTTTTTTTTTTTTTTTTTTTTTTTTTTAACCCAAAAAAAAATACAAT